CTGGGAGCTTAGCTTGCTAAAATAAGTACTCCAATGGAAGTAAACTATGGATAACTTTGTTTCACAACTTGTTTAAATCTGCAAAGATGGTATAAACTAAAGCAAATCTGTGTTCCCTTCAAAAGAAATATATAGAAGCATTTGGGCTAAGAATGTGAATGAAGTGAATACTTAGCACCCTTGTTTTTCTCAAGCATTGCAAGCCATATAATCTTCTGCTTTACTAGTACACCTTAATTGGTGTATATTGTCAGGGAAATGGACCCAATCATGAAGCGTCCTTAAGGCGATGGATAGTATGAAATAGAAGATTGCACAGTCATGGGATGGCAAGAAGAGGAACTACAGTCTTATTGAAAGTTGATCAACAAGAGATGGCCAAATATGTGCATGATCCTTCTTCATGTTTTGCCTATTACCTCAACACTAAATACTTCCACATGAGACAATTAGCAAGCATTTAGAAGAAGAACGAAGGTCTTAATGAGTGATTGGCCTCCATGATTGCAGATATCATGAGAGAGTACAAGCTGACACGGAGAGGATGTTTAAAAGAATAAGCTAGAAGAGTATGGATCCAAGTTAGATCATTGGTCTTCATAGTCCATGCCATCCCAGTTCCATTTATTTTACCTCCATACTTATCCCAATCCTTGGAAAAAAATATCTACCGCGACCTGTTTGAAACAATGCTCCCTACTGGTAGCAATCAAATAGAGCAATCAAATAGAACAAAGATGTGCTAAGACCAGAGATGCTTAGAGAACATATAACATAGACCAACTTAATAACAAGACATTAACCTGTTTAACACAATTAGTGCTGCCCAAATTTCAAAACACGAAACTTACCAAATAAATTGAGGTAGTGTGCTACATATTCAAATTTGGAGCAAAAGCTTCACAAAGATCTGCTTTCTCATCAGCTTAAAAATCAAAAGATCAAGGATGAACAAGTAGCAGTATTGTTACGCCAACCACCGTTAGATAACACACAAAAAGAATAAAAAGAAAGCCTTTCAAACTGCTAGATTGCAAAACTAAGTAATACCTTAGTGGCAGTACTTTCAGTAGAATTTTGATCAGTTACAAGGAGATGACAGCACTGTGCTATAGTGACTGATTTTCTCCAGACCTTAAACCATATTTGATCATAGAAAAGTTAACAAAACAGAAGAAAAGAGGTCCACTCACTTGAGGGCAAGGTTTTAAATGTCGGTTATCGGAAATTTATCGGACGGTCAAAATTCTTATCGGATAGCGGAAATCGGGGATATATCGGGGATAAATAGTATTTATCGGAGTAACATACTAGCAAATAATAAACAAACATAAGCTTGAAAAATAATATAATGTTAATCAAAATGGAATAATAAACTAGCAAATAATAAGATAACATCAAGAATGAAGAACCATCTACGCATCTACATAATTATTGTTTAATCATGAGATTCATAAACTAACTTACTAAATTGATATTTAGTAGTTATGAGCCATTATCAATATCCATAAACAAACATAAGCTAATCACCAATCAACCAAGTTCCAAAAGCAACAAATAGTTCATAATTTGTAAACATTCAAAGAGCAAATCCAAAAGAAAGTAAAAGCTCCCAAATCCTACTTATCGGCCGATAAAGCCGATATTTAGAGCCTACTTATCGGCCGATAAGTACCTTTATCGCCGATAACTCGTCGATAAACCTCAAAAAACGATAACCGATTAAAAATCCTACTTATCCTAGCGGAAAGCTCCCAAATCCGATAACTCGGCGATAATATCGGATTATCGGCCGATATTTAAAACCATTTGAGGGACTGTTATGACACCCCAAAAAATCACAACACTGACACGATTCACGTGGAATCCGTTTCCATGATTTACTTTCCAAAGCATTTTCAGTTTGGGAAGAAAAAAAATTTTCAACCACCTAGACAGAAGATCCAGTAAATCTTTCCATAATTCCATTTGTTTGCAAAGATGCGTTGTTGATTTTGGAAAGTGAGATGTGCTTGTTATTGTCACATGTAATATTATCATATTGTAAGATAACTTTAGGCTATAAACTTTGGGATGCAACATACTGACTTCCGGGAAGGAAAGGTCAAAATAAAGTTAATGTCTTTAAGATTTTAAACTTTCAGTAAATCAGGCAAGATTCTTCAAAAAAAATTATTGCCTTACCATTTAATGAGATAAATTTCAGAAGGATTGTCAGGGAAACAAACTTTGAAAATGGCGAATTGAGAGGTTAACATATAATAGTCTAAAGAATCTGACTTCATCGGACAAGTCCCAACTAGTTTTAACCATCTTTCTTCTTCTATACCACGTATCTTCTTTCACTGCAGGACTTGGTAAAAGGATTTGCCAATTTCTCTGTCTACATATCAATATACTTTGTGGAGTACTTAATACTGATGTAGGCTTGAAAATGCAGTCACCGAAGCAAACAAGCTTCAGTCAGATAAAAGCAAACTTTCGTTAGGAAGTAGATTATGCTTCTAGCATATCATTTGATGATATGCAATCCAAAACAACAATTACAAAGGTCTAAAT